TAACAATGAATGTAATCACCGCCTCGAACCAGCTATCCGGGGATCGGTATCTCAGCTTCAACACGCACAATGAAGGTTGGGAGTGGCGTAAATGAAAACAGGAGCTGCAGACAAAAACCGCCGCAGGATTTGGAGTGTAGGACGAGAAGCATCGGAGGCATGGAGACTGCCTACAAATCGCACTAACAACTGCCATACCACTGCCTCAGAGGCGGACCATACTATCTTGAATGAGACCAGCAAGAAGCATCGCTTCAACGCCATTGCCCTTAAGGAGACGGAATCCAAGGAAACGGCCATCAAGAAGACCAATGACGGGCACCTCTTCGTTCTAGGAGCGAAAGTCGACGGAAAAAACTTCGGAGACGTAGGATTCTTGTCCATCGTCGGATCGAACATCTGGTCGACTCAACCGAAATACGCGGCCCGCGACTGGCCATGCACCGCCTACGCATCGACAAGCGCACCACCGCCAGTCTTATGAATTGCTGTGCGCCAACGTCAACAGCAACCGACGGAGAAAAAGACGCCCTCCGAAGGAACTGGGGGAGTCTACGAAGAACGAGCGTTTATACTAAAAGTACGTTGTTGGAAACTTCAACGAAACCACCCCCGAGGAAAGACCGGCGACAGCACGCACCGGAACACAAGAAATCGGGGAAAAGAACTGTGCGAAAACGGAGAGCGGTTGATGGTCTTTTGAAGCATGCAACCTATTCCAAGGCAACATCTTCTTCGTGAAAAACGAGAGCCGACGTCAGCGAGTCCCAATGCAGCGATTTGCAGCGAAATCGACCGTTCTCACCAAGAGAGAGTGGAGCCTGCTAAGTTGCTACGTAAAAATCTGGCGGCGTCTGCGAGACCGCGGCCGCGTCGCGGCTGCTTCACTGGAGCACGCCGATTATTCACGAGCACTGTCTCGACTTTTACGATAACCACTAATAAGCCAGAGTCTGTTTATATTTATATATTGGTATATTTATATATGTTTATATTATATTTATATGTCCACTCCCGTAAAATAAGCAAGTGTTCCCTAGACGTGTGTGGTTTTTGCTTTGAAATCATCCAAGTAGGGCGGTAGGGCGGGCCAAGTTCCCAATTGGTAGAGAATGATTTTGCGAGGCAGGAGGGTCAAGGGTGAGGCTGACAGGATTTTGTCACTTTCTCCCCCAACAAGTGTCATGAGTTTTTCTAGATTCAGAGCCATTGAACGGGGAGAGGGTGGGAATATGTCAGGTAACGGGAAAGTTCTCAAATTCTCAAAAATTATCCCGAATAAAATGATGTAAATTTCTATAGAAACAGCGCCCTATGAACACTTTTCTTAACACACTTAACCCTGGACGTCTTCTAGACAGGACTGAACTGAAACAAAGGAAAACACAAAATAATAATATATTTAACAAAATTTAGGACAGCTGCAACTAAGCACATCAGCGCGGGTTACGGTATTGCGGTCCCACAGCGAATTTGGCAGTCGCCGCCAGATTTTCACGTGCATTGCCTGCTAGACATAAATGTGGTAGATGCGTTCCGCACCGAAAGCGACCATATGCTCAACAAAGCCAAAGTACGCTCACGAGCGAGACTTCGAAGACGTGATCACTCCCGGCCTCCTCCCACACGACTACCGCGGTATGACACAGGCGCCATGGAGGTGGCCGCAGCTCAGTACACGTGGCAGGAGACACAGGACTTGTCACAAGATTAATACTTGCTTGTAATACACTGTAATACATTTCTACACTGCGCAACCGGATCGGCCGTGTCAGCAAGGATGAACTCGCGGTGCAAGATCGATGGAAATGCTCTCCTAAAACGACGAGCTGCCGTTTACCGTAGATCTACATCTACACCTCTGGAACGTGCTTCGATCAATAAAGCGTGCCGCATCGCTGTGAGAGAGTCCATACATCAATACGAAGACACCTAACACGAGGATAGACGAATGGGAGGTAGAACGCGCCATACATCAGATAAAGCCGGGAAAGGCACCTGGGCCGGACCGAGTCTCAGCGGACTTCTTGAAATCGGCGTCCCACGCAATCATCAGGCAGCTCACCAAGCGTTATACCAAGTACTTGAACGTTCAGAGGATTCCGGACCAGTGGAAGATGTCAAATGCGGTTCTTCTTTTCAAGAAAGGAGAGCACGGCTGAGTTGAAAACTACCGTCCAACTGCGCTTCTCTCGCAGCCGTTCAAGGTGTTTACTAAGATTATTCTAGACAGACTCGAGAGGGAATTGGCACGACTGCCATCTCGTCGAACAAGCCGGTTTTCGCAAAGGCTTCTGGCTTCATGGATCATACCCACACGATCACGCAGCTGATGGAGCGGGGCAAGGAATACAAACAACCACCCCTTCTCTGCCTTATCGAGTATGCGAAGGCATTCGACAGTGTGGAGCTCACTTTTGTCTGGAACGCATTGAACAACAGTCAACAACATGCAGGAGTTGGCCCGTGTTACATCATCCTGCTGAAACAATGCAATACAGACACAGCCACCGCATCCGCATGTTCCAACAAGAGCCGATTGAGGAAAGAGTAAGACAGTGTGACACGATATCTCCTAAACTATTCAACACCGTACTGAACCACGCGACGCTGCAACTGGAATGAGACGATAAAGGCATCACATCGACGGCAAATAATATCCAACTTGCGCTTCGCAGACGATATCGTCCTCATCTGCCAAAACCGAGAGGTGCTGTAGCAGATGGTGGAGGAGTTGGACGACGTCAGCAAAGCTATTGGCGTCACGATGAACAGGAGCAAGACAATGGTCATGCGAAAAAATGGGCGGATGCGTTACTCTCAAACTCAAAAGAGCCACGGTACCTCTCATCGACTCCTATGTGCACCTCAGCAATTGGAAACAAAAGAAACGGCTCACTTCGTATCGGACAAGAGAATAGGAGCTGCCCTTTTCAACTCCACTGTATTACCCCACTCCTCTGTTCTGTTACGCATCCTAGACGTGGGCGGAGAACAGGACGTCAACAATAACAATGATTCGCGCACAAAGAGCCTTGGAGCAGAAGCTGCTGAAGATCAACAGGGCACAGCAGGGAAGTCTCAACCTCCGCAGCGCAGTCATGCACTCAATGTCCGGCATTCGTGACGCCGAAGTGTATGGTGGAACGCAAAGAAACGATGGGCAGGACACGAGGACAGACGCACGGACAACAGGTGGACCACGTTCATTTTGGCACCCACGTGAGGTTAAACGCACACTTGGCCGTCCTCCAACGAGATGGAGTGACTCACTAAAGAAACTCCAGGGAAATATTGGCCAACACTGGTCCCAAACCGCTCAAGGTCATCAAAAATGGAGGGAAGCGTGTGCTCGCCGCCGGAATTATCCGCCGACATTGAGCGTCCAAGTAAGTATATCCAATAATCCTATACACATATATACACACTAGGGCCAAATTGACAATTTTTTTGCAAGCTCTGCCCTCTATGGCCCGATCCTGCCAGTCACCATTAGTGTTCCCACACTGCCGGGTACTCTTACCAAATTCAAAATTCCTAGGTCCACTGAGACAGGAGTTATTATTTTTCACTGAAAAACTTATTTCGCGCAACTCCCGCCCACTATGGGCGGAGTCTGGTCCTGCCACCCACCATATGTGTTCCCACCCTGCCTTGGGTACTCCTACCGAATTCGAAATCTCTGGGTCCACAGGGACAGGAGTCATGAATTTCCATACAAACAGAGAGACAGACAGACAGACAGAAGGACAGACAGACAGACGGACAGACAGACAAACAAACAGACAGACAGACAGACAGACAGACAGACAGACGGACGGACAAACAGACGCGAGCGTTTTATATAAAGCAAAGATAGTATTTAAAACCTTTAAGCCAGAAACAACAATGGATATGCATGCACGCTGACCTCATAATCCCAAGAACCTACAACCATCCACTATGAGCGTAGAGCCCCAGAGTCTGTCCTGAACTCTCGTATGTTGCACGCAGGTATCTTTACTCCGATTTTTTCCGACCCTTTTTAGTCTTGCTTTCGAGTTGACTAGACAGTGATAGCATTTTGACAAATTCCCTCTAATCAGGAGTCACACGACGAAGTCGAATTTGTGAAGATATGCAGAGCAGCATGGCCGATCTTGGCACTAATGGAGCCGGTCAGCTGGCGTCGGCTCCACTATTAGACGAAGTTAGCTCTGTTGGCTGGTTTACGCTCCTGCTGGAAGGTTAGGGGGCTGTTTCAGAGAGCGTAGTGGGATCAATGTTTCAGAACGTCTATAAGTAGGCTTTTTGAGCACACGTCTTGGCCAATTTTCACTTCGGCATCGACGAAACCACGAGCGTCTCACCTCTGCTAGTGTCTTCCTCGAAAAGCATCATTTCGCTGTTCTTATAACCTTCTGAGTTTTTCTGACCCAGTAGCCCCTTATGGTGTAGTACAAATCGACATCGGTCAAAGTCGGTTGCCTTATCTATAGCTACATCTACAGCTATAGCAGATCTCGAAGTTTCACAGTTGGGATACTGTATAATGACTAAAGAAAACAAATCTGCGATGTTCGGCCATTTACGCAACAGATCGATATGGGAAATCGGTGCATCGGCCAATATCCCCACAACGAAAACACCACCGCACGCTAACTCGCCATGTCTGAAGGGAACAAGCTGTAAATCAACGACGCTTTCGAATAGGAATGTCGAATTTTATGCCTCTCTTCCCCTCCCACCCCCACCCCTCCTATCTTATCTCCAGATTGGCCAGCACTTCCACATGCCATTAGCGCTCTCCTATAGCCCGTACATCTTCCATATTTGAAAGCTCTAGCTCTAAGGAGCAACTTTCGTCGCAGGCTCTGTTCTAGTGGGCACAGTCTATACCTGTCACCTGCTATTAGTGTTCCAATCTTATCGCCTTTCGCTTTGGAGTTCTAGGTCATAAGTAACAAATTTCCATGGACCCTCCGCCCGTCTGGGTAGAGCCCAGCTCAAGGTATGCGTTCCCGTGTGAGAGAGTTTATTCTGAAAAAGTTCTAGCCTCCTTCAGCAAGAACGACTTTCTCCCATCGTGAAACAATCTGGTATATTCCATTTTTATAAAAGTCTTGAGTTTTGGAGCTGAAAAATTTATTTAACTCCCTTTCGAGTTCTTCTCTACTTTGAAACTGCCGATTCCTCGTGTGAATATCCACGGCCAAAAACAGGAGTTAGTCGCTTGGGGCAAGATCTGGTGAATACGGAGAGTGAGGCAGAATCTCCCATTGGGGTTATGTCGTTTGACGCGGTCTCTCGCATCAAACTTGCCATAGGGATACATGGGCTTATAAATGCCCCCTTGGCATCAACCATTCGACGCGGTTTGTGGGGTGAACGACTCGTCCATGTGATTAAATCTTCTGATCTTTCTAATCGGCCACTCTACTGCCCATCCAGCTGATATACGCCTTATCGATGACGCCACTACTATTAGACGCCGAATTGCGAACCCAATTGTATTCTATCTATTTTCATCGTCGATTTTGCTATTTTTCTCGCTTTTTCTGCTTTGGAGTTTTTTGAATCCCCTTTTCAAACGAATACTGTCAAGTTACAATGAGGTAATAGTAATGGACATTCCGAGCCTGATATCTCCTAATTCAAAGTAATTTGCAATACACATGTAAAATCGTGAGGTGTTTTATTGTTTCTTCTTTAAAACATTGTTTTACCATGATATTTATTTATATCATTAACTTCATTGACATGCACATTATTAATTAGTTTTTTCAGACATAAGAGATATGTTTTCTCACTTCTTTAACCTTGTCCGTTTTCATTTAATCATCTTCATCAGTCTTCACCTCCTGCTGGTTTCACACTTCCTTCTTAGTGCTCGCTGGAAACAATTTCAAGAACCTGGAGTAGCGGTGCTTTTAATATGAACCATTGACCCCTTCTTTTTGGCTCCTTGCTTCAAAACAGCTGCAACCGATATTATTGATACCGAGATGTAAAGGGTTTTCATAAGCGCAGAAGTCAGGCATTTTGAGCAAGCTTTGGACCAAAAAAAGATTGCAGCTAGTTCCATTTTGTTTTCATGTCCATGTTGGTCATAGGTTCAAAATGGTTTCGTTAAACACCTCTCCCATTCCCAGTGGGAGAGCCAGCTTTTATCTTTCCAACTGCATATCGTACCAACACCATTGCAAGGATTGGTTGCTTCACCCACCCTAGAGCTTCCTCCCATCAGGCTCAGGCAGTAATGTCATCTCTCTCTCTCAGTTTTCGAGGCGAGAAGAGCATTAATCTATTACACCCTTCCTAACGTTTGTGATTACAGTGGCTACCATTTTGTAATTTTGTTCACGTTTAGTAGTGACGAGGATCTCCCATACACCGCTTCCTTGAAAAGAAAATTCTTTAGTCTCGTTAAGCTTTTTTGGAGCTTTTAAGGCCACAATAACTAATAATAGGCCATAACAAGAAATGAAAAGCCCACTCTTCTTATGGAAGCTGTATTTTGGAAGATTCGCTTAATCTTGAGTCAGAAAGAGCTGACTACATCAAGATAGATTTGACAGAAGTTCCACCCACTGTCGCTGTGGAACATGACTAGCTCTTTTAACTGCCTACATATGGGTTCCCTTGTGATTGGTGCAACCTTTTCAGTGACACTTGTCCGAGGATACAAACGGGCCAATTTTTGAGCCTTTATAACTCCGTTTTCCGACCTACAAGTGCCAGATATGGTATACGCGAGGGCCTCAAATCCATCCTGTGGGGGAAGCCCAGAAACCATTTTTGTCGTGAACTGTGCCTCTAAACTTATGAGACACCCTGAATGATTCTACATAAAACAAGCTTAAAAGCATATGCAATGTAACTCTCCCACCACAATCAGTTTTTTAAATAAATTGCATAGAAATAATCAATTAGAAAATGCACGAACTTTTCTGGTTGCCTAATAGCAAGGATATGGCATGGTTGACCCATTCCTAACCAAAGCCCATTTTTTCTCGGTGTCTGGGTTTTCCTGTAGCAAAATGAGAAGTTTCGGCACCGCCCACCCCGGTGCACGTCCCGTCTTCCTTGAAAAGGATCCTGTCAGCTCATATGTGCTCTGCTGGTCTTATTCAAAGTGTTTTTTATTCTTACCACGACCCGACCTCCATAGATGTTTCTTCAAGTAATACCGAATTACGTGACAAACAAACAGACAATCTAACAGACACCAAACATGTGGTTTAAATGGAATAACTACATTGGATTCCAAAGCTTATCATGAAATTATTAACCAGTATTTTGACTGATGTGAAAAAAATTGCTATGACTCTCCGCTATCAATAGAGAAAATCTTGGCTTTCATTGCTGAAACTTATGGTCAGTATATCGAATGTGGAACGGCTATTTCGAACGGTCTTTCGTAGATATTACTTTGCAATATTCAAAACACAACAAAAGCATCGACCACGGATTGTGTCGAATTAATAGCAAAAACCGACTTATATAATGGACACGAAAACAGCAATCCCTCAAGAAGATAACAGCACCAGCTTACCTCTATTTCACCTGTCTTCATTTTCGGATTCATATTCTCCCCTCGGCTTACAACTGTCCCTTCAACTTGAACAACAGATTCGTATGGCAAATCCTTGACCATTTTGCATAGCTCCGACCCTGGGCCTATACAAGCCTGAAAAATCTCCACGATAGATTACTACTCTGAGCTAAGTGTAGTTGGACCCTTCTCATGGGTAAAGAGAAATGGTATCCACCTGCACAGTTCCATAGGAATCTCGCAGAACTATGAATCGATCCATTCTTTTATAGGCGAGCCATCCTTTGATGCACACTCGCACGCCTTGAAACTGCATTCAATAGGCAAGAGACATGTAGGAAAACAATATGGAAAACTGTAATGACGAAAAAAAAATTTAAACCTCCTAAAAATTTTGTAAGGACTCTTCTGTGTTTAGGATTATTTTTCCATATTTATATTCGAAATTATAAAGTTAGGCCGATTTTCCTGCAACCTACGGCTAGAACGTGAAAATACAAGGTTTCGCGATAAGGAGTGAGCTATACAAAGCCAATACAGTACAATACTAATAGGGAGCTTTCAGTATTAGTAACAGTAACAACCTCACTTCTATGACCTATTCTGTAACACTGCTTTAGTTTGATAATCAAAACGAAATGTGATACCTTCATCTTTCCTGGTTAGTTCTCCACAGTTGTGCGTTCGGGTAGTGAAAGCATTAACAGAGTACCGTCTCCAAAGAAAACAAAACTGTTTAATCATGCCCTATAAATAATTTGAAAACGAAATAAGCGCTCGTATCGTAAATCGTAAATATCTTTGGTCTGTAATCCATACTTGCAACTTCGAATGAAAATCGTGAAGTTTACTAGCGATTATTATAACAATATCACAGAATTTACTCGAGATGACATCGCAATATTCAGAACCAAACTCTCAAAGTGGTCAGTGACGCTCTATAACGCATAAGATTGAATGTTGGCGATCTACAACGTACAACATTGAGATAAAGAAAGTTGGAGCCAGCTGTATCACAGATCGAAATAATCAAATGGGTGTGAATTCTAGAAATGTGTAGAGGGAATTTTCAACGCAAACAACAACCGCATTAATCACTCAGTGAAATGTGTGACGGCACTTTTTATTCAAAGTCAGTGTTGGTCACTGCAGTCCCATGTCTATGAGGACGCATCAATAGATAGAATCGAATAAACATAGAAAGGAAAGTACTGATACTGCGTTCATACACAAAAGGATATACAGTATATTTCTCCTTAGTTGTATTATAGATTCAGAATGATCTTTGGAGTATCCCGGCTGAACCGACGTTTGTTCGTGAAACACAAAGAACTGTAGCCCACCAGACTGACTTTACTGCGAGGGTACTCGGCGTAGTACTTGGCATGGGTCTACAACGACTTGCAGTACTTGCAGTAAGGGACCATGAATTCACGCGGAAAATGCGCATTTGCATCTCTGTTGTTACTTCTTAGTTACGTAAGTCTAAAACTGAGCTTTTCGAAAATAGTGTAATATTTTAGCTCATCGACAGGTGGTTTGGAAATCAGTGAAAGTTTGTCTTCACAGCATACGTTTAATTTTGGAGAGACATTTCGTCCTGTTATGGTAGGGTAGTCATGGAATCAATAAGCGATTGCGAACTGCAGACAACGGTGTAGGAATTTCGTGGAGTTGATTACAGGTAAGCGTCTCTTCTGTTGTGTGGCCCCAAACATTAGAGCGCGGCATGCCTTGGTGATTTGACGACATTTCCTTATTCTTTTCCAGCCTTATACATATTCTTCATTGCCGATCGCTCAAGCACTCGAAAACAGAGTGCAATTCACGCGATCGATCCACGATATGGGACAATGGATAAATACAGGGAAAGTCGGCAACCGCACCGCTGGTACGTTCTCCATGCGAACTGAATGTGCTCGGAGGCACTCCGTGAAGTGGAAGCGAACCCAACTAGTTGAGACTCCACTTCTTCGCTGAAAAGGGTAAGTGACAGTGCTCTCATCTGAGGGTGTTCTACGCATCGATGGAGAGCATTCTCAAATAGTATTCATTTTAATAATGTAATTCGTCGAATAAGGGAATAAAAGACCGTCAATTCGCCAGTACATACCACATGTTAATGTTTAGGGACACGAAACAGGAGAAACGTATAGCTGTAATCAAAGCTGCTATTGAATTTCTGAAGAGCTACGTGACCATTTATTGAATTCATCGCCATTTTATCAACTTGACAAACTACTTTTCGAACTTTACCTTGATGAGCTCTCATGAAGCTTCTCCAGAATGTCAGAATACCAATCTGTAGGGTCAGAGTCGCTAAAACCCAAAAAACGAAATCGCATTTTTCACGTGAATTTTAGTTCCTTACGGTGTTTGCGCTGTGTTTGAAAGCAACCATTAATGTATAGACATATTTTTTGGAAGCGTAACTTGACCCTCTCCAATGAACTTAAAGCTGAATCCGAGTGGTGGTGTTGTTAGGTGTTCGAATCCGAAAACCTCAACATCAGCTATTTCGAAGTTTGTTAACGAAGGTGGATGGTAGAAGAGCTCCATTGGTATGTCACCAGGAATCCATGTAGATGAAGACAAGTCTACAAAAACGAGTGATCATCACAAAAAAAATCGATACTTGAAATTACGGGACATTACTTTATGACTCAGTAAATATGCGCAAACAGAAGTAATTCATAAAAATCAAAATAAAACTAAGGGATAAAGGTCTTTTTTTCATGTTGGGAAGGGAACTTCAACACCAAAAGATGAACAAGAAACAGCAGGTCGCTACCTTTTCCAGTACGATTTCATCCAACAATAGCTTACGCTCTTGTAATTTCCAAAAAGGTTCCTTTAGATTTTTGCTTTGTGTTATAATATCACTGGGCCAGCTGTCCTATTCGGACAGCTGTCAAGACTATATTCAGTCCATGTCGTAACACATTCCCGCTCCAAGCAGTTTGCACGCCCCCAGCATGATACTTTTGAATGCTAGTGATCAACACCATACAGAAAAGTATAGTTCGTATCATTCTTTTCTTAAGATATAAAAGCTGGAGTCATTTTTTATCCTTCGGAACCAATCCTTGTCAGGATGGCTACAACGCATATTACGATAGCTAAGAGAAAAAGGTTTGTAGAACACAATTCTCGGTTTATACAAGTTCACAAGCGACATTCCCAAGTACATTACTTATGTTGAAAGTATTGTTCAAAGTTGTTTCACCTGATAGAAATACGAACCTCTGATGTTTTTGCAGACGCTTTCACAAAAAGTCGCAAGTTATTGGCATCAATCCCTAACATCATCCACTCTCCTTATCTTCAAGTCTCTACATTCCTAGGAGTAAGCATTCATACCGTCAGTCTCCCAGATCGTCTAACTGGCGATCAGAGGACGAAGTCCTCGGAGAAGCAATTGAAGAGCCCGCACCCAAGAGAAGACCGACCCACTCAAGCAAGGAACTGAAGAGCCCGCTCGCCAAGGAGGAAGCCGGAAGAAGAGCAGCAGTAACGACAAGGACGGATGCCGCCGTGAACAGTCCAGCCGTACAAGCAGCCTGATCAACTGTAAGGAAGGATGTCCGCGTAAAGTTAGCCTGCTGCCCACACCCTCCCAAATTTGGACGCTTCGGTGCAGGAGAACAGGAATTATAAATAAAACTAAACATACACACTTGATAACTTTAGGTAAGTTCTTTCTCTCTTATTTAAATTTCAGTTGTGTCACCTGTCATCAGCATTCCCGTACTGCCATCTGTACACCTATCGATTCGATCTGTGCGATTTAGGTCCAAATTGACACCCCTTCCGTGAGAGTCTTGCCACCTGTAATCAGCGTTTCCATTCTGCTGCGTGTACACCGACTCACACACCGTTACACACACATAGGAGTATCATCACTATTTAGTTTTTCTTCTCGAAAAAAAAGTAGTGAATAGTTGCTCCCTATCGAGTTATACAAATCGAAACTGGTCAATATCGGCTGCCATTATCGATCGCTGCGCTTACGCGTACAGGGTAGATGGCGGTCAAATGAGTCATCCGACCACAGCCCTCTTGGGGAGGGATACGGTCCTCACGTTTTACGAATACTGTCCGCGCTTTCGAAGCGGAGGTAAAAGTTAACTGGCATTGTCTGTAGAACAATAATTTATCGCTTTATGTGCATATATGATTATCCGCTGACTCTATTCTTGAGGTCAACGCTCTTTCAAGTGACCCTCTCATGAGGTAAATGTGGTGGTGCGGTGAGGCATGATACCATGATGCTGTACACAAAACCCTGAATCCACCAACGGCTTGCTTTGAAGTTGCCTCCAATGGTCTTCCGTGGTGGATTTAGAGCGGTATCCGATGGAAATGACTGCCGTGTAAAGGGACCCCTATATAAATATCCACTATTCTGCATAGGTGGGCAGATCGGTCCGCTTGTTTTGCACCTAATAGTTGCGACCAACCAACCAACTCGAACTATAGGAGACTATCGACTCATCTACCAGCGAAATAACATTGGAACTCATGGTCATATCACAAAATTGAAAGCTACGTTTTACTTCGGAACCTATGTATCCTTCCGGAAGTACGAGTCCATCGTCGCTGTCATCATCAGGCCACCGCAGAAGACCATTGTGATCGCCTTTAACGGACTCGACTTCCACACAAAAGATAACGGGCTTGTTCTCACAGCATCGGAAGTACGGTTCGAAAGCTCTTCATTACCGCTTCTTCCTAGATGGTGCCCAGGTTATGCTGCAAGAACGAGGTTCTCCATCGAGTACGATGGCCCCACCCTCGGTCAGAAGATTTGCTGTTAACATATAGAATAGCTTTTGACGCGATGAATCATTTGGAATCCTCCTCTTTGAAGCTCCTTGAGTCCGTTTTGAGCAAATGTTCAAAATTCCTCTTTTGTTCGAATGTAATTCCACCTTATTCGGCCGGTGGGGGGCGAAAAAAACCTCCCTTATAATCTTTTTCAGTGTTCCTAAATTGTGAGGAAACTCCGTAGATGCCCAATATTGGGCCCAAAAACGTTTTGCAAGCGTTTAGGACTCATTTTATGGAAAAGCAAAACGAGCGCGCGCATCAAGGAATCGAACCCTGATGTCATACCTATCAATCCACCACACTATCCGCTAAGCCACCATTGCACAGGTAAGGGGATTGCTCGGCTCGGTGATAAGTTCATCGCAGTGGTATAACACAGGGAGGGACTGGTCCCATAACTTTGTTCCCGGAATCGTTTAGCAGATTTGGAACACAGATTTGAGATCAGCGTTCGAAACCACCTACGGGGGTATACATCTCATCTTGAATGGCCACTGCGACCAAGTATCCTTCCCTTGTAAGCTCCGTCCACTTAAGTGCCAACCCCGCCCCCTTTATGGATTTGGCCACATTTGTTCCATTATCTCCAACCACTTTTTTCCCGCATCCTAGAACGTCTCCAAGCGAAGCTGCATTCATTTTGAAAAAAGGCTTTAGTCCCAACGCACTCCCCGCCCATCGTGGGCGGGGCTTCGCTAAGCTTACACATGCCCAGCGCGCATAAGACCTTGCTCACTCTTTTTATCTTGTTTCCTGGCCTCTGCGCCCTAACTGGATCGAGTTATGAATACATCTGAAAAGTACCGCCCATTATGAGAAAGCTCCGCCCTCAGCACTTGGGCCTCCTCCGTCTGGTTTGTTCACCCGGTCCTCAAATTTAAACATTTTTCCCCAGTGTATGGATCTTTTCGAAGCAAAAATAAGATGTTTGACTGTTGGCACCGTCCATACTGGCACTTGCCCCGCCCCCCGTGGGCGGAGCTCCGGAGAGCTTGTACGTGCTCTATTAATTCTGTCTTGGGTTCCACCTATCCCGAACTTGTCCCGACCTTCAAAGGTGTTTTTTAGGTAAAACTGGATTGTGTGACAAACAAACAAACAAACA